AAAAAAGCACTTCGTAGGATACTACTAACATGCAAGCCATACTGTATTTATTTTTCATTTACCTTTTGAAAGCAAACCTCTTTTTTGTCAATTAAATGATGGTCCAACCCAACCACACTATATGAAGTAGAAAACAACATCTCATGCTTTTAATTAATTTAATATTACTACGTAGTATTTTATGTATAATTTATTTTAAAGTTAAACTAGGACAACATAAAAAAGGACAAAATTCTAATGGAAAAGGGAGGAGGGTAATATACGATGTATATACCATATATATTATGTTAGAGTAAGTGTAATTTAAAAGATAGATTTAAAATAAAATGATAGAAGAGACAAACAATGGAGTATAATCAAATCCACCTCATCGCATTTGTTCACACAAATTAATCGTGAAATAAAAATCATTAAAAGCAGCTCAATAATTATTATTATCATGAGTACTATGATAATTATAATGTAATAATTGTTACTTTTATTCATTTATTTTTGATTAATATGAGTGTTAGAGGTTAATTCTTTAAGCTAAAGATCGGGATGAACCTCTACGCCCGCTAGTTTTTATATTTTTTATATCATGATTTACTCTAGTTAAACTTAATTATCCATATATGTTATGTAACATAAGAGTGTCATGTAACATACAAGTATAATCTATGTATTGATATGAACTAACCAACATAGAAATATCAATCGGACACTAGAAGAGTGATTCCCGATTTACTCTCCATACAACTATGATGCATAACATCTAGAGGTTTACATGGTTGACAGTTGCAATATAGATCATTGTATAGAAGAATAAATATACAAAGCATGGATGATAGAAATATACCCGGTCTTGTATGATACATGTGATATCGTAATATTCAACGGGGGTTTATTTAGATGAATGTGAGCCGTAACGGGACTCACATGTATCGAAAAACCATGATCTCACTAATCTAACCGGAGTCGGCAATATAATAGCAATACCATACTCATAAAAATTGACAAAGAACTTATCTTGAACTCTAGTTAACGTTTAGGTGAATCCTGGTACCTTGGTCATTTTATCACATGCATACAAGTATTATATTCATACAATAAACCAAAAAACCCTACAATTTAAACAAGTTTTCTACTTTAATTCTCAAAACACGAAATTTATAAAACAACGTTTCCCTGTGGATTGACCCGGTATATTATCGATATTAATTACTACAATCATCATTTGTATACTTGCAAGTTAAGCCCAATGAACTTGACAAAGAAAGTGTTGAAAGAACTTCGTTAAAAGTTAAAGTGATTAGTATTTAATTTAGTTTAGCATCATGTTACCCATCATCTTAACCCGAGTTTGTTCCTATTTGTTTAATTGCATTCCATTCTGATTTGATCTAGCTCGTATTATTTCATATGATCTTTCATTGAAATAAGGGAAAGATCCTTACTCTTCTATTGTACCAACCCCGTTTACAACATACAAAAAGTGGGGCATTACCATATTCAGTCGTTTAACATATAAATGTAGATATTGTTTGCATACTTATCATGCACGATTCATAAAAGGATATAATCTCTTTAAGAAAAGACGCATATACAGCGCAGGCTCCAGATAACTTTACAGTTGTACTTCACGAAAAGTGATCAGTGTTACGTTAATCGAGTAACGTTTTCCTTAAAATAATATGTATGATTACAATCTTTAACGCCTATTTTGAGAGTGTGAAATATGAGATTCATGGAAGTTGGGTATTGATAATTTATCGGTCTCATATAAGTCATCGAATTCCTGTATTACATGTCATCTTTGTATTTCAATTAAGTTAATTTAAAATAAAGGTGGAATCTGACGTGAATGTTTATCTAAAAAATAATTTAATCTCGCATGACTCATGTGCCTGTAAACTTTACAGTATTAAGAACTCTAATATCGACTCATAGATATGATCATTTGATGTATATAAATAAGCAACTTTTTGAACACTACTAAAAATGCATGCCACACATAAATGACAACATTAAGGAAACCCAACAGTAACAAAGTGCAAAAGTATTATGAAGGCAGGGGCGGACCTAGTATTGTTCAAGAGTGTTCACATGAGCAACCAAAAACTTCAATTTCTTTTAACCAAAATTAAAGGCTGTTTTAAATTCTCTAAACCATGCATGTGTTTCAGGGGGGATCGGAAAGAGCTGATGTAACCGCTGGTAGAGTGCAGACTTCCTCTACCTTGAAAATGACGATCTAATATGTGTAAATCTCATACGAAATTTACAAATTCACTTTCTAATTCCTTTTTCCCATTACTTATCTTGAAAATAATGAAAAATTTTATTAGGTTTAGTGGATTGACCGGATTCTGTACAAATCGAATGGTCTTAGGGAAAACTGTCAAATAGGTCCTCGAACTTTCATAAAAAAGTCAATTAAGTCCTTCTATAGGAGACTTTGTCCGGTCGTCGCGATTTGGGGCGGTTCCCGGTGAAATTTTTTGATGAAATTTTTTGAGCATCTTATTCATCAAGTCTAGTTTACTCATACCAAATTTCAGTTAAAAATTTAATCGGGAGCGCATTCAAATTAATTCGAGAACGCAAAAATGCGCAGTTATTTTCAAGAATTAATTTCAATGTGTTCCCGATTAAATTTTTAGCTGAAATTTGGTATGAGTAAACTAGACTTGGTGAATAAGATGGTCAAAAAATTTCATCAAAAAATTCCACCGGGAACTGCCCCAAATCGCGAAATCCGGACAGAACCTCCTATAGAAGGACTTAATTGACCTTTTTATGAAAGTTCGAGGACCTATTTGACAGTTATCCCAATGGTCTTACTTTCGGAAGGATACTTTTGCTTAACGTTTTATTCAATTTTTTGATGTTTTACTCAAGATTTACTTAAGTTTTTGTTTAATTTATCTGTTGGTCTTAGTTAGGGTATGGTTTTTTTCTTAATTTGTTTGTGAATTATTATTAATTAATACGAGTATGAGTTATGTGTATTTGAAAAGGTTTGCAAATATATACAATCAATAATCCACTATATTTTGATTTGACATTATAACTCAAAGGAGATAATCGTTATTCTTAATTTTCAAATTTTAAAGTAATTTTGAACACCTAAACTATAAACGCTAGATCCGCCACTGTATGAAGGCTCAACAGAATTTAGAGTTGCAATGCACTATAAAATAAGATCATTTCTATTGAGGTTCACATTAAAATAAAGGGGATAATTATGAAGTTACATAACGAATTAATTCAAAAACATTACATTTCCCCAAATGCATGTATAAGGTAATACTCCGTAGTAATTAAAAAAGTCAGTTAACATCGAGGACGATATCATTTGTTTTCCATCATGCTAAATTAGTATGAAAGCTTATGTTGCAGTTCATTTAAATATAAATTAATTTGGTATTTCATGTATTTTAAGTAAATGTTTAAGCAGAAATCTAAAAAATTGCTACTAATGCGAACTCCATAGAATACTACTATAACACACCAACCATACCGTATTCTGAAAGAAAACCTTTTTTTATTAATTAAATTGTGGTCCAAACCAGTCACACTGTGAAGTAGAAAACAACCTCTCATATTTAATTAATATTACTACGTAGTTTTTTTATGTATGATTTATTTAAGGCTAAAGGGTCAAATAGGCCTCTGTGCCCTTCCGGTTTGCTCAATTTGCCCCCCCTCCCGAACTCAAAAAAGCTCCAATATTGTTTAGTAAAGCATAATAAAAAGTGCATTACCATATTCAGTCGTTTAACATATAAATGTAGATATTGTTGCATAATTATCATGCACAATTCATAAAAGGACATAATCTCTTTAAGAAAGATGCATATACGGCGCAGGTTCAAGATAACTTTACAGGTGTACTTCACGAAAAGTGATCAGCATTACGTTAATCGAGCAGTGTTTTCCTTAAAATTATATGTATGTTGATTACAGTCTTTAACGCCTATTCTGAGAGTGTGAAATAGGAGATTCATGGAAGTTTTTAATGATAATTTAGCGATCTCATTTAAGTAATCGAATTCCTGTATTACATGTCATCTTTGTATTGCAATTAAGTTGATTCGAAAGGTGAAATCTGATGTGGATGTTTATCTAAAGATAATATAATGGGAAAACTATCAAATAAGCCCTCGACCTTTTGAAAAAAATCAATTAAGCCCTCCAACTAAAAGTCAGCTCAATCAGGCCCTCAAACTCATTAAAAATTTGCAAAATCTCTTTTTAGCAGGTATTCCCGGTAAAATTGTGTATGTGGTGTGACGTGTCAGTTTTTTCTTTTTCTTTCCTCTTCCCTAGGCTTTCTTTCCTGCTCCCCTTCTTCCCCTTATTCCCTGCGCTAGCACCTCCAACTTCTCCCCTCTTTCTTTATTTCTTTCCTTCTTTCCTTCCCCACTCTCTGCTTCCCCATACTAGTTCTCTGCTCGCACTTCCACGACTCACTTCGTCCTCCTCCCTGCCCCTCTTTTCTGCAGCCGGATCTGGAATCAATCTGGCCGGAGCTCTCACGGAGCACCGACTCCGACTTGTATTCCTTAACGAAGCTTTAAAGAAGAACGTTTTCCGACTCCCAAGGCATGGACTCGCGGAAAGGGGATGACCGGACCGGTGCCACTACGCCAAAAATGAGCTTTTTCAACAGACCAAAACAGTCGAAAAAAGGCATTTTCGACTGTTTTGATCAGTCAATGTGAGTGTCGATAAAAAAGAGTCAAAAAAAATTTCGACTGACTTTACTTGTTAATATCAAATTTTGAATAACGACTACTCTAAACCGTCGTAGTTTAACGACATTAAATATTAGTCGAAATTGATTTGTTGTGTATAATATGGTATGTTTTAGTTTTAATAACATGTACTCAATTTTTATTTACTATGTACATCAATTTTTTAAAAACAAAGATGTATTTCTCGTATGCACACCAATAACACATAATTATAATAGATTTGAACAGAACAAAATAGTCACAATTATTCTTCATCTATGAAACTCATTTAAAATGGGCCCATGTCTAAAATTTGTTTAACATTAAGTAACCATTGAGTCATTGACACACATGGTCAAATTTCTAACATTTACAAGGAACTAAAGTAGAGTAAACTGTAGTTACTGATTAACAAACTAAAAGATGAAATACAATATAATAGAAACTAAAGTAGAGTAAACTGTAGTTACTAATTAACAAACTAAAAGATGAACTACAATATAATAGCAATGAAATTAGTTGATCCTCGTAAGGTGAACAATCTTTTTTGACAAACTGATGAGTTCACCAACAACGATCCCATCAATAATGCTACTATAGGCTTCTTCATCCGGTGAAACTCCCGCATCTAAGTGTCCAAAAAAACTGACCCTTTCTCAAGTCAAGTTCATTTAAAAACATTTGCTTGCTAGGCCAGATTCACATCCCTGTATCATTTATAAATTTATTATTAGTACATAAATTTAACAATTTATTATAAATTAGTTCAAACACATCTATGGATGATCAGGTAATAGTTCCTTTACACCACATCTTATAAGTACATCAATTATAAATCTATAAGTATCATCCCTGTTCCTTTAATTCATGTAAATCAGTACTCAATTAATCTTATAAGCATTACATGAGAGCTATTTTTATTTAGACAATATCACTTGTGTATAGTGTATACCGTTCAAACAGTGCAACATACACCAATAATAAATCTATGAAAGCATATCAAAACAACAATGAATTCAAGTCAATGATTACAGAAAGCATATTCAGTCACCAAGAGGAGTAAAAGTTAAAGAAAAATAACTTGGATAAGGTTTAGGATTATTAAAAACATAATTGTTCCGGAAAGCTGTCAAAAAAAAACATTTGCAGCTATATTTAGAATTGAATGTTGCTATACTGAAGAGCTAGTACAGATAGAACAACAAAGCCATGAAAAGTAGTTACCTGAAAAGTATCATGAACCTCCTATCCAAGACCTGTGCAAACTTTCCAACTACAATTAAAAATTTCTCAGCTCCAAGACCAACAGGCTGCCAAAATTCATTGAATAAGACCAACAGGCTGCCAAAAGAATCCAGATTTTCAGTAATTAAAATAAACAAAATATTAAACAAAGTTGTGGTGTAAAGGAACTTTTACCTGATCATCCACGGATTGATTTTCACCACCTAAAATGTTAAACTATAAAAGGTATAACGTAATAAATCACATAGTGATTTGAAACAAAATAAATACATAGATAGTATTTCTAAACGTAGAAAAGTATATGCTAATCATTATCAGGTCCAGAATTTTCAGCAAGAATTAGGTTGGTCAATGAATTGTTGCATGTTGTTTCTGTAAAAATAAAAGGATCTTGATAAGCATCCACATGATGACTTAATCTTTTTGGAGATTCTAGAACCAAGTGCCATGCATCCCTTGTTTCATCCTTGCAATAGAAAACTTGAGTTGCTTCTGAAGCATGTATAAATGGTTCATCATCTTCACTTGAATTTCTTCTGAACCTTGCAAAGTTTACGAAAATCAAGTTTGATTCGGGATCCACCACACATCCATTTACTTTGTCTTCTATACGCACCCAATCACAATAGAAGACAGTTTGTCTAAAATCGTAATAATTTAGCTCAAGTATTTCCTTGACAATGCCATAATAAGTAACTTCTTCATCTACCAGATTCTTATCTTTAGCACTTGATCTAAAACTCGTAACAGCATTCACGGAAACCCCGCTATTTTGTGTACTTGAATTAGCTTCTGCATCCGCTGTGTAAAAAATATAACCATTTACTGCATATGCTTTATATGCTAAAGCATCAGAATCTGGTCCATTAGCAAGCCTCTTAAAATGAGTCATTTCTTCCTTCTCAAGTTGTTGTCTTAACCAAGGGATGTAGTTCATGGTCTTTATCTTCAATTGTGTCCCTTTCAGCCGTTTCCCACTAGACTTTTGTTCTCGAAGATATGCTTGGTATTTCCTGTCAATGAAAATGAATTACAGTTAACTAAACATTAAGTCACTACATATTATGATCAATAACTTCATAAATAAATCTAAACGTACTCCTCCCATTCAGCATTTTCAGGAGATTGTTTCAAGACCCATTTGCGTACTTGTTCATATTGCAAACCTGAAAGCCTATATATTTTACCATTTGCATTGCTAGGATGTACTCCATGATTGAACCAAGTTCGGTAAGACAAATCTATTCCTTTAGAAACCAAGTGCTCAGATATAACATTTAAATTATTCTTCTTTTTATTAAGACATTTCTTGCAGGGACAACAATACCAATCATCACCACCTAACTTCTCTTTTGTAAATTGAAGGAATGTCGCAACACCTAACAAGTATTTTTCGGATAAAGTGTCTGCATCCATCCACTCTTTACTTGGAGAAGTAGATGTCATCTATTACTTTGATACCACTTTCATCACACCAGTTTTTGAGATGAAGAAATGACACATACAGGCCCGTGGAGTCCTTGATGCAAGTGAGACTACTGCCTCAGGCCCCCAATTATTACAAGGCCTCATGTTAGTAATTTAGTGTATTACATAGTACGTACTAACGTAGTAAACGTATTGCTTTGTATGGTCATTATATTGTTAGAAATATCTCAAATAAAACAAAAAAAAGAAAAATTCAATTCATGTCTTTAGGAGTTTTAGCAATTTAACCCTCACCTACAAGTGATCCAACTTATCATCATAACTACTCCATCGCGTATATAGGACGGAGTAACTATCAATTTGAAGCTTCTAAAACTTTACACTTCTCCATATTTTTCTTCTGCAAATTTTTTGACCATATTTCACTTGATTGCATCCTGTTACTACATCTGAATTCTCTGCTGATTTGTGATCTCCATTATTCATATTATTATTAGTCATTGCTTTTATATCCCGTATTTCTGATAAGGTTATATCAATTTAATCTATTCTTTCAAATCTTTGACTTCATAATTCATTTGTAATTTGTTTAATTTTTTGGTTTTTTTATTTTAATCTTAATTTAATACTTTTTATTATATCTATTTTTGTTCAATTAAATCACATATCATGTCTAATCGATAATACAATCGCGGGTTTAGTATTTATAAGCATAATCTGCTAGAACATTTAGACTTACAACTTTAGTAAGTGATATTGCTACTTAAAAAGCAAGAAAAATAAATACCAAAAATAAGTTCATTTAATTAGTACTTTTTCTCTGAATATAGGCCTCATTTAAAATTTTGCCTCAGGTCTACATATACCTAAACACGGCCCTGGACACATATATTATAACTACAAGGCCCCCCAGTTGAAAAGAACTAATCCTGGAGATTGGAATTGTAAGAATGGAAAAAACAAAATGAAAAGGGGTGATTTTTCTTTCTAAGAATGGGCACTTGGTTTGGCTGGATAGGGATTTTTATATCAGAAAGCAATGGGTAGTCATATTGTGCCAATTCAATTGATACAGAAACCCCACATCATTCCTTAAAATAGACGCACTTCAGTTTTTCAAAATTCTAGGTGGTCTGGGAAAAATATTCAGCAATAGTATATAAGATTTGATATATTAGATAAATGAAGTTTACCAAGTATTAGCCTTTGTTGTCTATACTTTAGTATATAAGATTTGATATATATAAGATTTGTTCAGTTAGTCACTGCAAATTAAGAGAATAATTTTATTTATTACATCCCTTCACAAGACTCTAGATAATTTTATCAAACAGTTAGAGAGCATAATCGAAATCACAAACCACCTACAATAATCAAATAATCATGCTTGTTGAATTTGCAGATACTGAACTAAACATTAGAGACTTAAATCTACAAACTAATACTTTGTGTTTGAACTTGAGTGGCAGGGAAAAATGGTATCCCCGTGTATTAGATCCAAACAAGAAAAAAAACAAGGAACACGATAGATTAGTAAAAACTCTTATACCTGGCTGAATTATACCCCTCGTTGTTCTCGTTTCTCGTACTCAGATATGAGATCACTGGCAAGACAAAGCTCGAGAGGAATAGCGCTGCAGCACGAGTATGACAGGATAGGAAGTAAAAGGTCCCGGACACAGCCTCTAGCTCCGCCTTTGGTTCAGTTATATTCCGCTCGTCTTTCTCGTCTCGGTCTGTATTTGCACGGATGAACTGAATTTTAGCAGCTCGCAGAGATCTGATTTTTGTTTTACCCCTTGTTGTAACACCATAACTTTAGGGTTATCAAAAATTTAGTGAAATTCGCCGCGAGCAGATTTGTGAGAGCCTGAGCGGGACTTTGTTTTTCATTTGCCGCGTGCAGATATGTGAATTTTTGCCTTAGATTGACTTCAATTTGGCGTCGAAAAAAGAGCGCTACTTTTAGCTACAACTCTAATGAAAAGTAGGAGCACTTCGACTGATTTTTTGAGTAAAAAACGAATTGACTGTTTTTATTAGTCAAATTTGAAAAAGTAAAAGTGTCAAAAATATCCAGTTTTGGTGTAGTGTGCGTAATGGGAACTTGAGCATCTCCGGCGTCCTAAGTTTCGCTCGGACACTGCGTTGCCGACGACGACCTACTGGTGGCAGAAGAAAGAAGAAAGGGTGGGAAGAAAGGGTGGGTGGAAGATTAGAAGAAGATGGAGGAAGGGATTGAAGGCTGAAATTTTTTAGAAGCCTGGAACGAGTTGTTGAACGAGAAAGAAGATGAAGGGAAAGGAAGAGTTTTTTTCCGTATTAATGCTAATTAATTAAGTATTTACGAAAATAGGGTCGGGTTAAAAGTATTTACGGATATACTGCTGGGTTAACCCTGGTCGGGGAAAGTCGCCAAACCGTTTGGCGACTTATAAGTCGCCCAATCGGATGGCGACTTATAAGTCGCCCAACGGTTTGGCGACTTACCCGTAAATTAAAAAATCGGGTTAAACTAAAAAAAAAAAAAAAGAGGGGCAAAATTGTCTTTTGAAACCCGTTGAATTTTACGACTATCGTGTCCGCAGGTCGCCCGCGCAGGGGGGGTGCGAATTCTCGATTCTGAACTGAAAGCCGGAATTCTTGTGTGCGCGAGAGCTCCCCTATTCTCCTTCACCTTTTAATTCTAAGAGAGGAGTGGTTCATATTTATAAGCTTCAAACTTCTCAATGAGTTTAGGTGTGGGAAAGTTAAAGAAGCTCACTTTCCACCTTTGCTTAAAAGTGTACACTTTTCCATCTTTCTCTTTCAAGAGCAAATTTGAGTCACTTCAAACTTCAAAGTCCAAATCTCCAACACCAAAGGTTAACACTACAATCAAAGCTTCCAAGAGTCAACATTGAGATTTAAAAAAAAAATCAAGGTTAAGACTATTTTTCTCAATAATAATAATAATAATAATAATAATAATAATAATAATAATAATAATAATATAATAGCAATAATAACCACCACCACAATAACAATAATAAAACAATATAAGATATTTAACTAACAATTCTAATAGGGTGGTGGTTATTATTGCTATTATATTATTATATTATTATTATTATTATTATTATTATTATTATTATTATTAAATAACAATATCTTATATTGTTTTATTATTGTTATTGTGGTGGTGGTTATTATTGCTATTATATTATTATTATTATTATTATTATTATTATTATTATTATTATTATTATTAGTATTGTTATTATTGTTACTACTACTACTAATATTATTTTATTTTTTTATTTTTTTAATAACGGTTCCTTAACGGTTCCATGCACATATTTTTTATAGGAACCGGGAACCGAACCGTTATAACCCGCTTCGGTTCGGTTCCTACAAATGAGACATTAATTGTTAACGGTTCGGTTCCTAGATGTTGTTAACGGGCATATATGCAGCACAGAATAAACAACTTACCATCATGGCTAAGAGGGCGGGCAACTTGTAAGAAAGTGCATGGAAATACGAAGTATAAAAGCAGCAACCGTGAAATTTTAACACAAAACTGCCCCATTTTGGTGCTGATCAAACATAAGAAGGTTTCTGCAAATCATTTGAGATGCAACGCTGAACTACTATCTTGATGGTACCTTGATTTTGGCCCTTGAAATGTAGCTTGGTTGTTTCCTATCAAATTCCAAAAATCAACATGAAAGGAAGTAGATGATAGGAAACAATACTATCTTGGACCTTGAAATGTAGCTGGGAGTTTGAGAAAAATAGTCTTAACCTTGATTTTTTTTTAAATCTCAATGTTGACTCTTGGAAGCTTTGATTGTAGTGTTAACCTTTGGTGTTGGAGTTTTGGACTTTGAAGTTTGAAGTGGCTCAAATTTGCTCTTGAAAGAGAAAGATGGAAAAGTGTACACTTTTAAGCAAAGGTGGAAAGTGAGCTTCTTTAACTTTCCCACACCTAAACTCATTGAGAAGTTTGAAGCTTATAAATATGAACCACTCCTCTCTTAGAATTAAAAGGTGAAGGAGAATAGGGGAGCTCTCGCGCACACAAGAATTCCGGCTTTCAGTTCAGAATCGAAAATTCGCACCCCCCCTGCGCGGGCGACCTGCGGACACGATAGTCGTAAAATTCAACGGGTTTCAAAAGACAATTTTGCCCCTCTTTTTTTTTTTTTAGTTTAACCCGATTTTTTAATTTATGGGTAAGTCGCCAAACCGTTGGGCGACTTATAAGTCGCCATCCGGTTGGGCGACTTATAAGTCGCCAAACGGTTTGGCGACTTTCCCCGACCAGGGTTGCCCAGCAGTATATCCGTAAATACTTTTAACCTGACCCTATTTTCGTAAATACTTAATTAATTAGCATTAATACGGAAAAAAACTCGGAAAGGAAAAAGGAAAGAAAAATAAAGGAAAAAAGAAATAAAAATGGAAAAATTGAAAAAACGAGATGTGTAGCCACGTGTACATAATAACCGGGTAACTTATTAGTTACCGGTTAAAAAGAGGTTTTGCCATATTTTATTGGGTTTGAGGGTTTAATTGAGTTAAGTTTTAGTAAAGGGGTCTAATTGATTTTTTTGAAAAGTTAGGGGGCATATTTGATAGTTTTTCCTAATATAATCTCACATGACTCATAGTGCCTATAAACTTTACAGTATTAAGAACTCTAATATCGACTCATAGATATGATCATTTGATGTATATAAATAAGCGACTTTTTGAACACTACTAAAAAATGCATGCCACACATAAATGACAACATTAAGGGACCCCAACATTAACAAAGTGCAAAAATATTATGAAGGCTCAACAGAATTTAGAGTTGCAATGCACCATAAAATAAGATCACACATTTCTATTGAGGTTCACATTAAAATAAAGGGGATAATAATGAAGTTACATAAAGAATTAATTGTAAAACATTAAATTTCCCCAAATGTATAAGGTAATACTAATTAAAAAAAAGTCCGTTAACATTGAGGACGATATCATTTGTTTTCCATCATGCGAAATGAGTACGGAGTATGAAAGCTTATGTTGCAGTTAGGGCTGAGCGCGGATCTGGGAATTTCCATTCCGTACCGAAGAACCGTCCCGAACCATTCCAGAACCGATAGAACCGGAAAAATGTAATACCGTACTGTACCGTACCGAGCTTTTTTAATAAGATGGTACGGTACCGGTTCTTAGTGAGAACCGTTCCGGAACCGTCCTGGAACCGTATTGAACCGAACCGTCTCGTACCGTACCGAATTGTCCCGAAAACTAGTGTTATAATATAATTATATATTATATATTATATATACTCCCTCCGTCCCAATTTGTTTTGCAAAGTCAACATTTTTTGGTCAACCAATAATAAATGTCAATCCTTCTTATGCATAATTAATTTAATTTTTAATAAATAAAATTTACATATTCATAAACTACATCACAATCTCTTCAAAGTTGTAAACTCCAAATTAGAATATAATTAAAAATTGGCAACCTAATTAAGTGAACAAAACGCAACTGTTTGACCAAGAAAAGTCAAATTTGCAAATCAATTTGGGACGGAGGTAGTAATATATTTTACCGAGTGTAAATGTTAGTGACCATATTATGTCATTACAAATGTGCAATCTTGCATATTCTTTGTCATGTGATGTGATACTTTTTGGTTTTTCAGTTTGACGATCACTTTTGCCTTTTGGTTTAAATATTACTTTTCTTTATTATAGTTTGATTATTAGTTTCATATTTCAATTTGATCACACAAGATCAATTAAATGTAGCCTTGCAAGTTTTTCTCTTAAACTTTTGTAGAGTTATTTATAAATGTTAAAATCTCTAGTTTTTTTTTATATATCATGGGGGTTAATTATTTAGGAATTAAATAACACTGAAGAACCGTACCGAACCGTACCGAAAATTGGTACGGAACGGGACAGGTTCTATAAATACGCGGGACGGTACCGGTTCTTGATTTTTAAAAGAACTGTACTTTGGAACGGGACAGGTTTTTCGAAATAACCGTCCCGTACCGTCCCATGCTCACCCCTAGTTGCAGTTCATTTAAATATAAATTAATTTGGTACTTCATGTATTTTAAGTAAATTTTTAAGCTGAAATCTAAAAAATTGCTATTAATGCGAACTCTACGTCACAAAAAACACTCCATAGAATACTACTATAAGACACCGTATTCTGAAAGCAAACCTCTTTTTTTTTATTAATTAAATTATGGTCCAAACTAGTCACAATGTGAAGTAGAAAACAACCTATCTCATGCTTTTTATTTAATTAATATTACTACATAGTTTTTTATGTATGATTTATTTAAGGCTAAATGGTCAAATAGACCCCTGTACTTCTCCGGATAACATATATCAATAGAGCAATTTTGTTCACTCTCATCAATATTGTTTTTATGATCATTTTTTATGATCTTTCATACTTTAATTGACCAAAAATAGATATTTAGAGAAAATGGTTTTTTTTTTCGTTTTTTTATATGCAATAATGGTACAATTAGAAAGATAATACTATCTTCATACCATAATGCAAGATGCAAATGAGTCTGGTACGAGTTTTAAGAAGTAAAGGATAAGGATGCGATCATACCAGCACTAATGCACCGGATCCCATCAGAACTCCGAAGTTAAGCGTGCTTGGGCGAGAGTAGTACTAGGATGGGTGACTCCCTGGGAAGTCCTCGTGTTGCATCCCCCCGTCCCCCCTTTTTTTCAAAAAAAAAAAAGAAGTAAAGGATAAATTGGTTATTTTACAATTTTAACCTCCACAAGTAAGAAAGAGAAAAATGAATATAAAAAAAGTAAAGAGTGAGATAGATAAAGAGATAACGTGAGAAAGTCAAAAGTGACTGGAGTCCAATTTCATCATATTTTTTAGACAACCCAAAAAGAAAAGTTTATCATACAAAATGTGAAACGAATAAGAAAATATTTAATGCTAAAAACAATCATTCAGCCGTAGCAAACAAAAGAGTCCTATTGCCATAGAGAGTGGGCCCCAGGGGAAACCCTAGGCGGCCATCCCCAAGCCCCTTGAAGATCCGATTTTGGAAGATGAAGACATTCTCTATGCAATGAAAGATCGAATCAAAGGTTTTTCTTTTCTTTCGCTCTTTTTCAATTTCTATTTTCAAGGAATTTGGTCCGACTTCTTCATTGGCCGAGAATTTTGTCCGCTTCATGTGAGCGTGTGGTATGTTATTCTCCTAGCAATGTCTAGAGGATGTGCGTTTCTAATCGGTGTAATCAATCTGGTGAAGCTTTTTC